ACGGAGACTGTTTGGGAGCTCCTGAAAGTGGCATTCTGCTCCGCCTCCACAGCTGCAATGAGGCTGCGCCGCATCGAGCGGGAGCAGCGAAGCAGCGAATACCTTGCGGCAACTACTTCTGCAGCCTGTTAAGCTTATTCAGTCTCGGTGCCGGCCGCACAGGTCGCAAGCTTCCAGCATGAAGGCTCTAAGCAGTTGATGTATCCCACGGTCAGAGTGTACTGTGCCTCCATTTTGCACCCAAGCCATAAGTGGGGTATCCGGAAATTGGTGAGAACCGTGTTGTCACAACGAACAGCACAAGGCTTGGGGCACATCTCGGGCGTCACGACGCGGCGTGTCCGCCTCTCCAGCGGAACGCGGCCTGCAGGGCGCCACATTGCATCCTTACGCTACGGCCACTGAGACGTGGACAGCCTTGCATGGCTTCTTCACTTGTAGGCGCGTGCAGGTCTTATCTCGCAAGTAGTCTTCGGCCTACGAGCATTCTCATCAGTGCTTGTCTTGCCTACTCCAAAAAAGAGGTGGATGTACTCCACTGCAAACGAGTGTTGAACCTCAGGGCACAGCAACAAGGAAGACACTGCAACAGAACTCTGATGGGCTTCGATTGAGCCCCACGCCTGTACGTCCCAAAGCATGCTGGCCAACCGACCGCCGAAATCCTCAGGGCTGACAAGTAACGATAACGCTTCATGGTGATTCTGGCCGTGTCCTGCTCTACTTTGGCCTAACCGCTAACCGCTAACCGTCAGCAGACCCCTCAGACCAAGCAAACTGCAGCGACGGCACCGGCGGGCTGACTTCCTCGGCCAGCAGCACCTCCAGTTCTGTCCGCTCCTGAAACCATGGCAAGCAGTGCGGGAAGGAATCCTCGAATGGTGTAAAGCACTGCCGGCACTTCCGTACTGTGTTTCCAGGCCACACGGACCGCAAGAGGGCCTGCAATTTAGTCAGCTTTTTTCAAGTAGGACCCCAACCATTAGCTCGTTGCAAGTCCAGGAAGAATCCAGTGGGCATAACGCTAAACGCAGCACTCAGTCATGGAGGGATTGAATTGGGGATGCCCCAGCCCCATCTCTCGCACCTTGGTGATCCGCCGCCGCTTGGCAGGGATGAGCTGGGAGTCGACTTCCGCCATCCCTGGCAAATATGGAACGAACAGAATGTGGTGGCTACAACTTGGGCACAAGTTGGCATGATTGCGATGCTACTGTGGCTTGGTTTTGCGGTTCTCAAGCTGGAGCAGGGTGCATCTTCAATGTCTAGAGCGGCACATAGACTATCTTTCGTCAACCACGCATTTGCTGCCCTGGTTTCTGTTTAATTCAGGGTCCGGTCTCGTGTCGTCACTGTAATTTGTGACTCTGCTTGTCCCGTTTCGACTGGTTGTAGTGCTGGGTAAGATGAAAAGGTCGCCAATCGTAGTCTCACTCTTAACTTCCGGCACTGCGACAAAGAACACTGCAGTGCACTTCAAACGACACTGATCTGAGACCACAATCATTTACATTCCATCAAGTCAGCGGTGCTTGCAAACTGACCTCCATACACATCTGTTTGTATATATATATATATAGTACATTTATATATATACACATATATAAGTATAAATATAAATAAATATAAATATAGATATAAATATATATATATATATAACCGTCTGAATACATGCACAACTTACAAAAAGTGGGTGGCAGTGGTACTTGCCTTGCAAGAAGGCATGACTGCCAATTGTAGTTGCGCATCACACCAGGGGATATCGTCCTTTGACAGAATGCAAGAGAAGCAGCCTCTGGTGGGTCGCCGCCAACACCTGTGATGTGAAGTATGCTTCGTCAACTTTGGGATAAATGCATCATGGCAATTGTCGCGATTCGCCATGGTAGCTGCTCGGCACGACTTGGGGAGAGCTTCAAGCTAAGATCGGCAACATCCAACGTCCGCAAGAAGAGGACAAAGCATTCACTGCAGTCCCGACGTAGAGACTCCAAAAAAGGGGGGGCAGGCTCTAGACGCCCTCAAACAAGCATGATAGACATCATTAGATTTAGATGCGCACCACAGAATGTAGAATCGTACCGCTACTCTCGCGAAGCCACGTAACTCGTGCCAGCCGAGATGCAGAGCTCGAGAGCTCAACTGCCGGACGCGCAGGGCTGGGAAGAAAAAGTTGGGCTTTGGAGCCGACACGCACAAGCACAGAGATACTATTTTGCATACCAAGAGTTACATATATATATATATATATAGTTGTCCCATGCATGCATGCATACAGAGATAAACAGACATGGATGATGGACACATGTGCATACATACATACACACACATTTGTGTATTATATATATATATATGCATATACATGTCTGCATTATCTGCATGTGTGTATGTATGTGTACATACATACATACATACATACATACATACATACATACATATATAAGCAAATATACATATACATATACATATACATACATACTTACTTGCATACCTACATACATACATACATACATACATACATACATACAGTATGTTACACACATACATACATACATACATACATACATACGTACATATTGCTACACACACATATAATCCACTTATTATATTCTTTCTTATATAAACAGTATAAAAATATAGCTCTATGTATAGATAGATAGATATATATATATATACATATTGATTTAGTTATATGTACATATACTTGTACATGTATACCATTAGTTTATGTATGAATGTATGAATGCAACTATGTATGACATGCATTTATGTCGTACGTATGTACGCAGGCATGCATGTATGAATCAGAGTGTGTTGCTTCAGAGACTCCCTAGACATAACACACATCAGCAGCTGCTGGTTGCGGAGGCTGCTTTGCAGTCTATGGTCTAGTATAGATTTATTTTCCTGTAACCGCAACTGATCCACAATTCATCCTCGGATGCCTCGCCTTTCCGGATACAGCTACACGTCTTACCTTTCACGGACGCATGGAATCCTCGAGACATAGTGATTCTTTTCCTGACCTTGCATGATCTCTGGATGGTCCCCTGAAGCCATAGACACCACCATTGGAGGGACTCGGGATCTTCAGTTCTACAAATGAGTGGCTAGTTGAGTTTTGCGATTGTCTCATGGCGACACGGCTGCACAACATCCAGCAATCTCCGAGAGTCGAAGGCGCTGCAAGAGTCCCAAAACCCTGAGCTCCGGCCATGCTCCGATGCCCAGTCTACAAGGCCTAGCTGAACTCCAACTTATGAAACTGCATGGGCAGGCCGGAAGCTCACATGAACTGAGACCCGCTCAAGACCGTCGCGTTCTTAGTTCTCCATCTTTGATGCAGAGCTCATCCCAGGGTACCTCTTGGGCTTGTGATTATGGTTAAGAGTTAAGATCACCCACCACCTGTTCAGTTCATGTGAGAGATGGCCCATGCCTGACCGACGAAGTCGAGGCATTGGGCACGCTGAAAATGTCCCAGGTAGACCAAAACTTCCCTACGACATGCTTCTTTCCTGGCTGTGGTCCACCCAGAAATCGGCTTCTCAGCCAAAAGGCAATGGCTCTCGTTGGCCAAGGCCACTTTCCCAAACGAGGTCATTGCTTTGGAAAAGGAAACTCCTATGGAGGGTCCCCTTGCTCCTTCAAGCAAAGTGAAAGGACTGCTCGGAGCTACACGGACGAAGTCGGCACTGCTTTGAGACACCGCCAAGCTGGCAGCAACAGAGTCTCGCGCTGCAGCCGCTCCCGAGAAAGGACGGCATCGGATCTGCCAGTCGCCGCCAGTCACTTGCATGCATATTCTAGGTGAGTGTGTTCTATGAGCAGAACTCGTCATCCTCTGCAGTCACTGACGGCTCTGGCAGCTCCAGAATACTGCAGAGGGGTCAGGTCTCACAAATGCCCCCCTACAGGAGCCCCAGAGCCTCACGGGCTGGCTCCGAACTACCGCTTCCCCAGTGTTCCGCCTGCTGTGCCTCGGCAAGCGATGAACATCACCGTTTAAAACTGAGTCTTTAATACAACTTTGAGTGAGCACAGTGTCGTTGAGCCATGTTGCCTTGCATTGAACCGGCAGTGTGCTTTGACCACCTCGGCTTGCTTCCGTCAGACAGGTTGTACTTCTCTGCGAAGTCTACACTGTAGCACATGCTTGCAGTTTTTTGAGCATGAAATTTTGGAGCGCCAGCTCTGTCTGCGCGCAGCACTCGTCGTCCGCTGGCCGAGCGATGCATTGAATCCCACCAGTCTGAGCTGAGCTGTGCACTTGTTCTCGAACACGATGCTCTTCCCACCAACGCCGGAAGACTTCTTCCTTGGCGCGCATGCAACTGGTCCGTGAGTGTTTGGTGATTTTCTAACACAATGGGTGCGACGCCAGCCAATAGAAGTACAAGGGCAGGCGGGGAACCCTCCACGGTCTTGGAGTTCCCTTGTCACAGTTGCAACACTCTCAGAGATCCGCCAAGGAACGTGTGAGTTCTGTTCTTGTTGCTGATGCAGACTCTGTCCGCCTCTTCTTTTGTCATCTTCTTTATGCCTGGAAGGGCCAGACAGGCCGCTGAGGTAAAAATGACACCACCAGCTACCTACGTAGCTACCTACTTCGGGTTCAGAGTTCGGCTCGCGTGGGCACCTGCTCACCCTGAGATCTGACACCTGGGGAGCTGGAGGAGGGCCCACATGGGTAAGCGTCAAGTAATATGGTGATGGCATGGGGCGGCCAAAGCATGCGTGGCAACCCACGGTGATTGCTTCCTGGAAAGACCTTGCCTAGACCACGTCGTCCTTGCTTCGATCGCCAGCCAAGGATGCCTAGCAAATCGTCAAAGCTACAAAGCAAAATGGACTTGCTGACTACCAAAACCGATGCCTGGCAGCCTAACATCCTTTCAGATCACCTGCATGCCCAGCCTCCGATCTCGCAGCCCGGGCCAGGATCCAGCGAGATGTCGACCTGCACAGCTGGATGCGTTTGCAGTTCCCCCGTAGTCTGCTGGGCAGGTGTGTGGCTCTCTGCCACAGCGACGCCTCCAAGTACCGATTGCAAAAATGCAAGAATTCCGAATACAACAGCTAACACTTAAGACTTATCACCTCAGCACTGAAAAAGGACTGACTGCGACAACATACGACAACGACCACGACTACTGCTACTGCTGCTGCTACCAGCACTGCTGCCGCAAGCAATATGCGGTTGCTACCACCACCACATCTACAACGACATCCACTGCGACTGTGACTGCTGCCGCTACAGCTATTGCTGCTGCTGCTGCTGCCACTACC